GATTTTGCTGTTGAATTGAATTTTATGTGACTGAGTCCAAAGAATGTGATATTTAATAAATATCACCTTCTTTAACATATATAATAATTAAATATCACAATACATATAATAATCTTTAACACATATAATAATAAATATCACATTAAGTTACCACGTAAAGTTAATAATAATAATAAAAGGGTTTACAAACCATTCTACCAAGAAAACTGAACACTGATATGATAAACTGAGAAAAGACTGGGAAAAAATATAGAAAAACGCATGCCATCACTTAACACTGCATCGGAAATCCTAAACATATGCTGCTACGCAGCTTTTAAAAATTTTGTGATTTTATTGTTGAACTGCATGTGGTGTAAGTGTGAAAAAATGCTGCTTAATAATGGAGCTAAAAGACCCCCTGGCCATCCCCCCCCAAATTGCAACTGCAAGCTCAGTAAAAGCATAAAAAACTTAACAAAACCTTTTGTGAAACCATTAAAATCTGAAAATTTAATATTTTTTTTATATTTTTTAATCTATTTATTTATTTATATTTGGATTCAACATCATGAAAATTTTCAATTTACCATTAAGTGAAAATGAAGCTACTATATACTTTCAAGAAATGGCTATTTTATTCTCCATTCAAATTTGGAATTGCAGACATCAAATAAAGTTATATACTATACCGGTATATAACTTTATTTGATGCACTTTGGAAAACTGCCATAAAGGCTTTTGCTTTGGCCACTGGTCTGCTGCTTCAGAAACCACATTCCTGATAGACCTGCGATGGCCAATATAGAGCCAACTGAAAAGTAAATTATAATTTTTTTCTTCCCTATACTTCTGTCAAAATTCCTTAAATTAAAAGTGCTGCTTTCTCCTCTTTTGATACAGTACTAACAGTACGTACACTAAAGCTCTTGCAGTTTTGTGCCATTTATGTTACAGCAGCAAAGTTATACAATGCATTGTTGCAACAATTTGCTTTCAAATTTCTTGTAATATACTTGGTATATGTAAGTACAGAAGCTGGAAGACAGTAATGGAGGCATGTTGCCCGATGTTAGCTGAATGTACTTTCTGATTACCCCATGAAAGCACATGGTAAAGATGGAGAAAATACTTTACAACTTTACCTAAATTTAAAATTAAATGTGATTTTTTAGGAATCTTTACTTCTAATTGAGGTCTTTCCTTCTGACTGGTGTACCAAACAGAATTTTTTTCACCATTATCATAAAATGTAGAGGCTAGAAACTGCACTCAAATTAGTTCTGAGAGGGATGACAGATTTTGAAGAAAAACCGTCTACAGTGTTTTGCATTTGTAAATGTGATACCAGCTTAAGATAACTCATTCTATAAAATATAAGTAATTAAGTACAGACTCAGATAAGTGTTGATATAATATATATAGTAATAACTTAAAATCTGAGTTGCTGTATTGCAAGATCATGGAAGTTAAGTTAAATATATTGTCAATCAATAACAGCTTGCTTGTGAACTGTTGTAATTAAATACTTACTTCATATACAATTGTATTCAAACGCTGTAAGCCTTTTTCTTTGTTACTTAATTGCTTGTTTTTTTCATTTGCACTCTGAACACCATATTTTGAGCCTTTCAAATCAGATTTAGAATTTTCCAAAATTGCTAAAACCTACAAAGACATTTAATTAAAAACAAATATCTAAAGCCCAATAAAAATAGGATATTCTTCTGTTATTGGGGCTGGGTTCAGAAATGTATGCATGCTACATTTCATGTATTCATTCTGGGTTCAGAAATGTTCATAGAAATTAAGATGGGCTAGCTTAATTTCTATGAACAAAATTATTTATATTAAAGAAATTTCAGAATAGTCGGAAAACTAGACATTTTTATTCAGTTACTAAATTTTTATAAATGGAAAATTATCTGTAAACACTTTTTTTTTTTTAATTCAGTACTTTGCGAATGTCGCAAAATTCTGAAAAATATTGCTCTTAGCGCCATCTGGAGGTAACTATCGAAGAAAGAAGATGTTGAGTGAGTCATTTTTCATATGGATTCATATGGATGTGTGTGTACATGCATGCATGTGTATATGTATGTATGTAGGTATATGTGTGTATAAACACACACATATACATTTCTGAATCCAGTCCTGATGACAGAAGAGTACCAAAAAGAATTCTGTCAGATTTAAATACTAGAAAAATTCTCCTTTCAATCTTTCAGTTTGTGACATCTAAATATCATTCTTATCAACAAATAATTCTAAAATGGTTAAGTTTCATATACTAAAGGCACAGAGGATACATATTTATGAATACACAGAGGATACATATTTATGAAATTAAATGAATGAATATATTTTAAACTGATAAACATCATAAATATGAATTAAAATTAAAACAAGTATATAACAAATTTAGCTCTTTGATTGTTTTAGTCCCAAGGTATGTTCCCCTACTAACATTTCCAATAATTTCTTTACTTTAAATTTTGCTCACAAACACTGAATGGATAAAATCCATGAACCACACAGCTTTATCATAGAGCTGATCTGATGTTTTTGAGGTCTTTTTAAAGTTTCACATAAAAACAAATAAATTTCCTTTTGATTATGAAGATATTCTTTCACTGATAGATGAAGTTCATATACTTTGTACTAATTACTTAGTCACATATTCACTTAAAACTTTTTAATATCTATAAAAATACAAACACTTTTGTAAAACCAATAAGATTACTAATTTAACAAGGTTTACATGAACTTCATGATCTTAAAAGTAACATGATGCAAGATAACACATCATCAGCACAGAAATTTAAAATTATACATTTCCGTTCAGAAACTAAAAAATTCATACCTCTGCATTGCAAAGAAGAGCTGCACTTTCATTAATTCTGGGAAAAGATATAGGTTAGTTAAGATCTGATAAAACAAAAACAGAGTTACTACAGTAAAAATTTCAAACAATTTAAAGCAGATAAGGTTTTTCATAACAGTAGTACTATATCATTATACAACCATCATTATTTCTAAAATACATTACCAATCTTAAGTTAACGAATATTGCCAAAAAGTAATCTGTATTTTAGGATACCCCTTGGATTATCGCCAAGTTGTTTCATTTATCACAAAATTGTTGTTTCACTTAAGCCTGGTAACCTGAATAATTCACATTGAATGTTATGGAAACCCAATTGTGATGTGATTGGTTGTAATGTGTGATTATGATGATTTTGACTGTTGAAAAAATATTTCTCGTGGCTTATTTATGGGTGAAAGTGCAGAATCACTCACTGCTTGGCGCGTTTTTAAAAATTGCACATACTCAGTATCCATGTACACATCGACCTATTTTCACTTAAAAAAACATCCCAGAATTGCACAAAAATGGCATTGTGTACTCCCTTGATTTTATCCATGTACACCTCGGCCTATTTTCACTTAAAAAGTCAGAGAAAATTGACACAAATAAAATTCTTCTTACTCTTGAAAAAAGCGCCAAACAAATAAGTGGGCGATTCTGCACTTTAGCCAAGACCGTTACAACTGAGGAAAAATAATCACAAAAATTTCTCAAAGAAACAGCATTTTATTAAAGAAAATTTAGAAAATTCACATTTGTGTTTATAACTTACACCTCCATCGTGTTTCAAATAGTAAACAGAATGTACAAAGGGAGTTGAGTTGTAGGAAAGTTTACATGTATTTAATGCTCAACGCAAATTATACGTAATATTTGTAGTTAATTGCAGCATAAATTAGATAAAAAAGTATCCCTTTTAATATTACAGGTAAAAATTTCACTCAAAATGGACCTAAATGAATATTTTCAAAAGATGGGCTAGCTTAATTTCTATGAACAAAATTATTTATATTAAAGAAATTTCAGAACAGTCGGAAAACTAGACATTTTTATTCAGTTACTAAATTTTTATAAATGGAAAATTATCTGTAAACACTTTTTTTTTTTTTAATTCTGTACTTTGCGAATGTCGCAAAATTCTGAAAAATATTGCTCTTAGCGCCATCTGGAGGTAACTATCGAAGAAAGAAGATGTTGAGTGAGTCATTTTTTTAACATAGACGTAAGTTGTGTCAAGTGTCGGATGAGAAAGTTTCCGATTGAGTCATACTATGATTGATGTAGAAGTGTAATCGAGACATTTAAACGGTATTCTCGGTGAATATTGCCTGTCAGCTGTGCGTAGTGTATTTACATCATTAATTAAAAGTTTCGTGTTTTACAGCAGAGAATTGCTTGAATCCAGATAAATTTAATAACCTTAACCGGTTCCTAGCTGTCGTTATTCTTGTTAAGCTAGAATTATTATTTTATTTTTAAATATACTGGACGGCACCTGCTAAGTAAGAAATGGAAGATCTTGGTAAGTTTAAATTTTGGTTAAAATTTTTCTAATTCTTTTGGATAATTAATTGTCAGATAAAGTGTAGAAACTAATTAAATTTACAATAAAGGGGTACAAAATTTAGGTTTTCGAATTATCCGTCAAACATGTTGAAACAATTTATGCACCCCTGCGGTAAACATTTCCTTTGAATTTTTTGAATGCATATTTAGAATTCATATATAGTTTTCTGCGGTAATTTTACTTGTAGCGTTAGTTGGAAACATAAACATAAACATTGGAATTTAACAAACATTCTCTATTCGTAAAAAGCAAATTTAAAGCTAATTAAATTTTAAATTAAATTGAAATTGTTTTTAATGTTATTTTTTAAAATTTAATTAATTTTTATATTTTTATAACCACAGTGTTCATTTTTATCAGAACATTTAAAGATTTCCATTTTACGGTATGAAAAGACTCCCAGTTTAAAGATAGAATTCACTTTAACTTGCACAGTATAGACCAAAACAGAACAGTAATAGATTAAAAGATAGGTTTCTTTTCAGTTATATCTTGAATCTGGACTAATCAGCATTTTGATGTTTGAAGTTTTCTATTATTTACCAATATTTGACATGCCTTTTTTGCTTTATATCTTTACCCCCCCCCCTTTTTTTTTTTTTTTTTTTTTTTTCAGTTTGGAGAAGCATTGAATTTTTAATCAATTGGTTATCTGTTAAAATACTGAGTATTGCATCACGGACACTGCAGAACTTTGTGCAAAACTGTGTAAATGTTTCTTCTGTGTGTTTTTTGTTGTAATGTTCTGCAAATCCAATTAGCATTTGGAAGATCTGAGGGTTAATAAGAGTTGTAGCTAGGGTTTTCAGCACCTGGCTACAGCTGGATTTCTTACTCCTTCTTGGTTGCCAAGAATAGAAAACATTTAATTCTAAAATTTCATAATGCCAGTTTGGTGCCAACCCCCTGGATGTTGTGTCCGGGGACACCTGATGGCTAATATTGATTATACAGTATAACGCTATTTTCTTGATGGTTCCGGTTCATACTTAAGATATATGTATACCTTCTGCATTTTATCTTCATTACATTTTAAATTTTGTGTTCATTCCTTATCACTTTGTGTTTATTCTTTTTATGTTTCTTGCATGATATGTTGATAGTGTCTAAGTTGATAGTTGATATAAGTAAGGTATGCATATCTTGTAATCCTCAAGATATATTGATCTTAAGGATTACAAGATATATGTACTCAGAATATGATGTGTAAAAAAACATAAGTATGCTTTTTTATATGTCATTCTTTTATCATATGCACTCATATGCAAAGGAGGTTTTGTGAATTTAAGTGTAATTATGGTGCAATATTTTTAGGGTGATGAAACACAGTCAAATGATTACAGATTCTTTTTGGAGTAATAAAATTAATAAGCCATAGAAGTGTTTTTTGAAGTGTGGAAGTTTGTTGGACAGTAATGTCATGAACAATAAAACATATTCTACATCCTTCAGTAAGAGTTCTTAAAAAAAGGAAGTCATAATAACTGCAAATATTGTGAATGCATGTTTGAAGCTCACATGTCATGGATTATAGGCACTTACAGGTCATGGAGTAAAATATTGTGAATGTGTAATTGTAATGGATGGTGACTTCCTATGCCACCATCTTTAAATGTGGGCTGCTATGTTTAGGTAGAGAAGAGAGGCATTCAGAAATACTGTAATGAACTAACTCTTATTTGGTTTATAGCAAAGCACATGAGAGTCATACTTGTAAGTGTGAGGGAAGTCTTAGTGGAGGACTTCATAAGGAAGATAGACACATAGCTACATACATGTGGAGAAAATCTTGAAAACTCGCATGCTATCAGCCCATTTGCTAAGATTTGAATCCAGATCAAATTACTAGCATTTAGCTATCTTACCACTCGACCACTGTTAGGCTCTGATGTGACCACCAAGAAATGTGTATAAAGCTGTGGAGTGCATAATTAAAAATTGGTATGAGGCATTTTCTCATTGTGATGAAAATGGGCATCATTATTGAAAGAGAAAAATAGATATCTTAAGTGCTTATGTCAGAAATGAAGATAAATGCTTGATAAATTGTTCTCAAAAACTACTGTCTGTGATTAATACTGGTAAAGGTAATTTTTATTCATAACTATTAATAGTAGATGAGAGGCGAGGGATTCACCACTTTGGACTGGATGGTTGCTTTAAGGTAGAAAGCATGATGCAAAAGTGCAATAATTTTCCCTGATTTCAGAAGTTTATATTGCAGACATCTGCTTAGAAGAATCTGGATATCATTTTTGGGTTGAAGAGAGATTCTTGTTGATTACTACATAACATCATGATAAGAAGGGTTTATTATATCAACTTATTTTGATAGATTATAAAGCTAAATTGTTTGGGAAACTCAGCTGCATATCACCTGTACACAAGGGTGAGGTTTCTCAGAATGTAGTTCATTGATGTTGACTTCAGCATTTTCCTGTTTGTTTATCATGTTCACCAGATATATTCTATAAAGTTTTTTTTTTTTTTTTTTTTTTTTTTTTTTTTTTTTTTTTTTTTTTTTAATTCAGAAAACTGATGTACTGCTTTTATGGCTCTAATACAGTGATGATGACATGAAAATGCCATCCAAGAATAGTTTGAAATTGGTGACAAAAAAACGTTCCCCTAATTTTTCAAGACTATGCATAACTGATAATGCTAAGTACACTTAAGGCACGGAGAGCCACGTAAAAGCTGAATAAGTCATTTTTAATATTCGTTTATACCATGGAACTTTGCTAAAATGCATGGCATAGTTATTGTTTCCTTGAAAAAAAATCTAATTTTTAAAAATCTTTGGCCTATGAGTATCGTTTACAAAATCTATTTTTTGCATATGGAAAGGAATTTTTGTTAAATTTCTCCTCATCAACACACTCAGCACTTCATAGCAGAGTTAGTTGAAGTCTCTAATCATCGCCAAGCATAATGTCAACATAAAAGGTTACCCTGCTCTTTGATATTCAGTTTCTAATATTAAAAATAGAAAATAATAACAATTGTTTAGATATAGCTGTGGGAGTTATTTCTCAAGCTGCATGGTATGTTGTTGGTCATGCAGTGAAGCAACCAAAAAAAGTAATAAATAATGATATGCCAGATTGGTGTCAGTATCAGAGTGCGGATTCAGGAATGTATGTATGCACATGTGTATGTGTCTATGTGCACATGTGTGTGTATACATGCACATTCATACTGTATGTGCATATATACACATGTACATGAGTATATACATGCATACATGCGTTTCCCAAACTGATCCCGATAACAGAAAAATTTCTAAAAAAAAAAAAAAAAAAAAGGTTGCTGGTGATCCAGAGGGTCTAGAGTTTAAATCGTTTCATACTTTGTACTGTATGTAAAAATTCCACTTGTACTGTATATAAAATTCCTCCAAAGTTTGTTTCCTAAAAGGATAAAAATTCTGTTAAGTTTTAATCAACTGACCATCTTTTGTCAGCTACCTTTTGAGCTGTTGTTATGCACCGTGATGCAGTCGGCATCTACTCGTATAATTGGAAGATAAAATTTGATATTTCACATGGGTTTTCGATTGATGGGACCGAAGAGTAATGGCCTAAAAAAAGTAAAGTAGGTTGGAAAATTAATCAATTTTTAATGTTGGTAATGTGTTCTGCATTTTTTGGTTGATTAAATCTTCCAGAAAATTTTCATTGTTAAGTTATGTGCAATATATAAAGGGCAATCCTTTTATGAAGAATTTGCTCTACTGAAGTCTGATCTTATTTAATAAATTTATCATCTTCAAAATTTGTAAACTATTTATTTTACTGCTGTTGCTGGATTTTAAATCGTTTGCAGTCTACAGTCATCAATTTATATAAAGCATTTTCTTGCTCATCCCCCCCAAAAAAAGGGGTAAAAAAAGGTCTAAAAATAGAGTGTCTTTCATCATGCTATCATTCATTTGCTTGCATGTGATTTTCTGCTATAAATGACTTATTCTGGTAAGCATGCATTGGATTCTTTCAGCAGTGCATTGCATACAAAACATTGCATTCAGTATGTCAATTAGGGCTGTCTAGAACAGGTAGTCACCACTTGCACTAAGTTTAATAAGGCACCAAATATATCAAGTAATTTATTTTAAAATGTTTTCTATATGTAATTATTGTATGAAAAGACCTTACAGATATTATCTACCTAGCATATGGAAATCTCTTCATCCAGCACTGCTGCATGCCTTTTAGTAAGTTTTTACCTCTTAAGATATTCCTGGCCTTGCCCTTGTAAAACTTCTTACCGTGATTCTCTACAACTATATTAAATAATATAGTTTTTCAGTTATCAAAAGGAACAACGGCGGGTACTAGACCAATAATATTGAAACTCCATTTTGAAGAATTCTTTTGGAGATTTTTTAACTTTGTTCTTTGCTAATTCGTACATGAAATTTTTTTACTCAAAAATTTTAATTAATCATATTTAAAATGAATGAACATTTTGAAATTTACATCTGTTGTACTATGGAAATGATTTTATGCCTCTTTATATACGAGAATCCACGAAGGAACGGAATATATCCACGAAGGAACGGATGCTAAGGAAACATGTCAGCCTGAAATTGAATAATTGGCAAAATTCCACTTTTGTTTGGCAGGTGAGAACAGAAAGGTTCGTACCCAGAATTAGTTGCTCTTGAAGATGAAAGGATGAGTCATTGTTTTGTTTTTGAATGTGTTGAGCGTTTCAATTTTCATTAATGTCAAACAAAAGCTAGAATTTTGTTTGTACGTGAAGAAAAGCCACTTATTTGCTGGTAATTTTATCACTGCGAAATAATGTCAAATGGTGGATGGGAATATTCGTGCAAGTTAAAGTGAATGGGAACGGTGGGAGGAATTAACGTTCTTTTGAGCAGTTATTAACATATAGTGCGTCCGTAAAGTCATGGTGCAGTTTTGATCGGTCACAGGAAAGCAACAAAACAA